AGTATGAAGGGAAAACCCCTCATGCCTGCGCCTGCCCTTCTCTTTTTCTCCATGTCCCACTCCGCTGTACTGCGTAACAGTCCCATAAAACTGTGCTATATCCTTCTGGACTGTTTCAATACATAGGTAAGTATAAACTTAAAAAAATGATAATTTTTTCCTCTTTTTGGGGGGGAGCATGCAAAACTAGAACTTTATTTCTAGGATTTAATTTTATTTTTCATCTTGGAAACCTCAGTCAACCTAATCGTAAGACAATTCTGAGTTTTTCTCAACACAGTTTGGTAGTTTCTCAGTGACTTCTCTTTTATAGTGGTCTCGTTAGTTTATTTCCCACCTCTCATGTCTATCACTGTTCCCTCCAAGTCCTGTTTCTTCTCCTTTTTAACAGATGTTTAGGTGTGCAATACAGTATTTTTAAACATAAGCATTATGTTGTTTAGCACATTCTAGAACTTATTTATCTGGCATAACTGAAACTTTATACCCATTGAACAACTCCCCAATTCCATCTCTTCCCCCAACCCCAGGCAAGCACTATTCTACTCTCTCTTTTTTCCTTTCTTTCTGTTGTTTGGTGGCTGGTTGGTGCAGGGATCTGAACCCTTGACCTTGGTGGTGTAACGCTGCACTCTAACCAACCGAACTAACCAGCCAGCCCTACTCACCATTTCTAAAAAATAGGAAAATATTAACATGGTCCTTTTTTCTCTCAATAAATCCCTCCACTGGATTTTTAGTTTTGCAAGGCATTCTGTACTGATTTTTCTGTTGAATAACTGTATTCACTTTGTTGACAACTGTACACTTTGTTGTGTTTTCTGAGGTGGTTATCTTAGTAAATTGAATGAAGGTATGCTTCAAATTCGCTAAACTCTCTGTGTTACTATCTAAACAAAGTGCAAATGTTATTCCTTCCAGATTTTATCTAGGTAAAAGATGGGTGTAGTTATAGAATCAAAACAAATCTGTTGCCTATATGTACGTTTAGGCTAAGTGGGTGAACTTAAAATAAACCCCTGAGGTCAATAACATCTCTGCAAGTAGATCTTAAAACTTTATCTTTCACATCTGGGGTAAGTTACCAATGTGATGTGAACTGGTAAATGTCACCTTTTCAGAACTGTAAGCCAGAGAAGTCCTGTATTGATTTCACTGTTGAAGAATTTGGTGCTCGGGTTACTTGCAGTCTCTCAATTAGGCCAATATTGCCACGTCTTGCTTTTAATAATGCTTATGATGTGTATGTTTTACTGCCTCATATGAAATCCAATTTTAACTCCTTGAGGTCAACTTTACCATTAAGTTAAACATTAGGGCTGTTGGTGAAACAGTTAAGTGCCTCTGTTGTATCCCCACTGTTTTTACCTTTCCACCGTAGGAGCTCCCTCCTAGTAGGAGGCAGAGCTCAAATTTGTACTGTGTCTGCCCCCAAGCCTGGCAACTGCTTGCAGGCGCTGTTGGTGAAACAGTTAAGTGCCTCTGTTGTATCCCCACTGTTTTTACCTTTCCACTGTAGGAGCTCCCTCCTCGTAGGAGGCAGAGCTCAAATTTGTACTGTGTCTGCCCCCAAGCCTGGCAACTGCTTGCAGGCTTTATCTGTGATGCTTCTGTTCTGTGGCACAGCAGAGGGAACACTGGGCAGGTGGTCAGGTGCCTGGATTGTAGGCCTCTCTATCACCAATTAGGTATGTGACTCAAGTGAGCCATGTAACCACCTAAGTAGTTTTCTTGTCTATAAACTGGGATACTAATAGTAAAACACTGTTAGGATTATTCTCAGTATCAAAGGAGCTAGTCTTTTGATGAATCAGGCATTACTTAGTACTCTCAGTGCTCATTAGTCAAGAGTAATGGAATGGGTGACTTTGGCCAGGACTACAAGTTGCCTTTGGGTAGAGAGGGTGGAGCTGGATCCAGGTGACAGTAAGACGTGTGAAAGTGGCGTTGGCCCTGAGAAATGTCTGCAAATCTATGGTACTTTCAGAAACAATGCTATGAAATGTGCGTTTCTGCAGAATAGGCTAATTTTCAAAACGTATTGAACCTTGACTGCATTGTGGCTGTGGCCCAGAAACTTTGATCTGTTACTTGCCCAGACCTGCTTGCTCATTATTTCTTCCTTTTTTTTTTTTTTTTTTTTTT